GCCTTCACAGTACTGGTGCCAGCAAAGTGATGGCAGATAAAATCAAATGCTGATAAATCTCAAAAAACGTAGAAAAAGTTATCCCAACTTTCTGTGTACAGTAATGATTTCTTTAGGCCTTTTAAATATTCCTTTAACACCCATTAAAGAGGTCTTGGAATCCTAACAGAAGTCTCTGAAAACATCACATCAATACTCAAGACTGTTCAGAAACCCAAATGAAATGTGAAGAATTACTCAAAACTACAAAAAAAAAAAAAAAAAAAAAAAAAATCATGATGCCGCCGTGTAAGTCCCTGTTGTATCTACAACATGTATAGGGATCCCCAATCTAAAAATTATTTTAACAGACTAGGTAAAAGGTATCCAAGGACAGAATGAGTGGTATTGGAGTGGAGTTTGTCTTATTTTTTTTATCTTTTTTTTCAGATAACTGTCTGTATGTGAGTTACTTGCCGAGGCTCCCTATATAGTCAATTAAAATCTGCTCACTTCTGTTGTTGCAAATCAGAATGTGATTCTTGTCATCCTATAGTTAAACCTTACATTATGTTCAACTCAAGAAGATGGGTTTGATTAGCTGTAGATATAAAGGAACCATGTAAATATAAAGGCAAATCAGATGTACATACCTTATAGATACCCACATTTAATCAAATATATCTCCATCTTTGCATCTTAAGCAAAAGAAAGGAAAAAACATGATGTAGGTCTTGTACATCCTGACACAGCACAAGTCCACTAGAATGGTTGATCTATTTCTCTTATGAGCTAAGATTTAGGACACAAGTGGGTCTCCAGAAACAGGTTTAAGAAACCCCAAACTCTATCCTAAATGTTAAATTTATCATAGGATATTTTTGATCATAAAACCCTATGTTAGTCCAAAAATCAAGTATGAAATTCTTTGGAAAAGATTCCATCAATATATGTATGACATAAAAATAGAGTTTCTGGCTCCATAATCTCTGAGACTCAAGTTGCTGAGCTGGAAGAGTGCAAGGAACAGGGAAGCTGATGCTTTCCCTTGCTTTCTTCCTTAAAGAATTGTGGTGGGTAATATCAGACAAGGGACTGGGCCAGATGAGCTCATCATCTGACTGATTTTGGCTACTGTGTGCTCTCCAGAGTTTTAGTATTTGTCTGGTTAGGATGCCTGTGGTATGTGTATTCTAGAGTCCTTGCTCATTTTCCAAGGCATTTTGCAATATTTTCTAACAAGTCTGTATGGATCATTTAAAATCCAATCTACCACCTACAGTATCACAAAGCATTGAAATTCTGTCTTGCATAAGGACAGTTATAATGAAGATAATTTGGGTCTGGTTGTCCTATCACTGTTCATACTGTGAACTCATTTGCACTCTGAGCAATTTAATGGGTACATCTCCTTGTGATAGTAATACACTACTACTCACCATGTATTTTGGTTTTTAAATTACCAACAATATAATTCTTTAATTTTGTTCAATATAAACCTGTTATATGTTTAGTGCTCTTTATGCAGAAGGGAAAAAAATAGAAAAAATCAACCAGTCTTGTATTATACAAAATTATTATTAGAAATATAAATATTTCTGTAACACATTTCCAGTAAAAATTCTAAATTTCTGCTTCTACAGATGCTTAGCTCTAGAATCATGTAGGCTGACTGATGGACTGGATGTCTGTGATAAACTATTGCTTAAAGAAGGCTTACAGTTGCTGACTCCTTAATACTTCAAAGTCACATTCCAAATCTTTCTGTGGTTATTTTTCTCTTTTCTGTCTACAGTTTTCTAATTGTAAGCTTATTGGCATTAATTAGATAGCTGTTCATTGACTAGCATTCCTTTTTTTGTTCTTGCTGTTTATCATGTTTGGATTTTCCCAGCTAATAATAACACCAGCAAAAATTCAGGCCTAGAAATAACAGAATACAGAATATTGAATTTAAAGGCAAAATATGTGATGTTTTGTGCATTGGAATATTATTATCACATTGCAGAAATCATTATCCTTGCAGCACAAAAAAAAATAGTTAGGACGTCAATTGAAGAGAAGGCAGAAGCTTTACTTCCATGTCTATTTAATTTCTTTTGTGGGAGTTGTTTCTGTGCCATAGACTTTTTGGTCTGTAACATAATTTACAGTCAAAAAACATGCTGACTAATTATGAAATATTTTCTATTTAATTTTAATTTAGGTATAATGGCTAATATTATTCACCTAATAATTAATGTCAGTGTTCAAGTGGGACGAGTACTTTCAAATCCAAAATGCAGACGCAAATAATTGGTCTGAAATCAGCCAGGTACTTTAATATATGTTTAAAAACAAGTGCCTGATAAGGCCTGTGTGCTCTGCCTAAGCAGTGATGTTTTTCAATCAGAAAAACACCTGACTCTAATCCCATACAAATAATAGAAAATTAACCTGATTTAGTACAGGAACTGCATTAAAGTGCATTGTAGTGTGGGAACTGATCTTTCTATCTATTGATTGGCATTTATTCTGTCAGTGTTTTTGTATTTTATATATATTATATATTATATATTATATATTATATATTATATATTATATATCTTTTTTATATAGTGTGTCTATTTAATTTTTATTATATATTACCTTCATGATATATTTTCTGTTATAAGATATCTAAATACATACACATGTCTATCTATATTTTATGCAAAGTGGTCATTGGTGACACTAGATTAGAGGTGTTCTCTCATCTTGCAGACAAAGCAACACAGAAGGAACAGAGCTGATCATTCCAAACGTAAGGCACAGAGTCATGACCAGGCACTCTGGGCCATGATAGCAGATCACAGAAAAAAAAAGCAGTAAAATAACCATTTGTAAGTGAAGTGCTCAGATAGAGGTGTACATATTTCTTCAGCCTTTGAGGCCTTTACTTTACAACAACAAATGTCTACTTTTACAGCATGTTGTTTGTTCTCTGAACTCACTTGCTAACTAAAAAGTTCAGGGTAAGCACATATATAACTCTCTAGGGTAAAACCAAACGTGAGCTGTCTTCCTTTTCTTTGTATTTCAGACCTTGCTCAGCACTAGGCCATAAATCTGTTCTCACCAGTAATGTCAGTTCTACTCCAGTGGTATAAAACTGGTGAAATGGGGAAGTCAACTGTTATGTCATGAACTTGATGCATGCATCTTCTCTCGCATCGTGGCATTTGCATATTTCTCTGCCCTTCCTTTACAAAACACACATCCCTTCTGATGGTGTATTTTAGAGATTGATCATTAGAGTCATTCACTGTATAAGTACCACTTAAGGCAGTCTAACTCCTTATGTTGCAGGGTAATTTAACATAATTGATGGAAATCAAGTCTGGTTTTAAAAGATGTTTGCGGAATAATTTTTCAATGATGTTTACCTTTAGTGCTCTTCATGGCATTCTAATGCCTATGAATGTCTTCATATTATTTACTCTTAAGGTTCACTCACTGGATGGGCTTTTTTTTTACCTTATTTTGCATCATGTGCTGATGAAAAGATTACTAGGCAATAATTTCACGTTATTTGATGAACTAAAATGAGATGCAGACCACGTGGTTTATATTAAAAATGCTGAGAGAAAGGAGCTATAGAGCAGACTAATCTAGCAAGTAAATTATTCTGCCTTTGTGTGCAGACATCATATGGCAATAAAACATGAGCCTGAGAATGAGAGAATTTGTCCCTTAGAAATGACTCATTGTTACATTTTGACATATTTTATCCCATTAAAAATTCATAAATGTCTCCTTAGAAAATATAGATATGGAGTAGTCAAAGATCTACACAGAGATTCCTCTCTTGGATAAAGTCATGGTGCCCTGAATTTATCTGAATGTACCCTGATACATCATGGAGACATCCTCATCAAGTTCTTGAGTTTGAAAAGAAGAAGTTTGTAACTGGCAGATTCTGGTTTTCATATACATTACTGAAATTATTAGCTAAACTGCTTTTATGCATAGTTTTAAAGGTTATCTTAAAATAAACATTCTTTTGTTTTTTCTTGTAAATATGAGTATTGTGAGCCAGTTTGGGATGCATAGCAATTTTTTAAATCTTTTTTTCTCTCATTTTTTAATGGATTTCCCATTATTAACCTTTTTATTTGTAACATATACAATACCCATGGTAAAACCATGGCCTTGGGTCTCTAAAAGTTTCATCATTTTTCCATTTATCATATTCATGAACAGCTGTCTTCCTCTGTTTTCCTGTGTTAAACTACTCATCACTCCCGTCCATCCTGACTGAACATGTTAAACACAAGGAAAGGATGAAGCAGGAGACAAGTGTGTCACAGACATCTTTTTATGAAAATCTTTTCTTGGGATTTTTTCCCTTCTGAGAAGCTGAGGCCTCAGAAACAAACTGTAAACAATGGTTATCTGCTGCTGTGGAATGCATCAGGTGGATTTTTGATTGGGCCATCTTGAATGTTTACAATTAATGGCCAACCACAGACCAGATAGCTTGGACTCTCTGTCCGAGCCACAGATCTTTGTTATTCATTCTTTTCTATTCTTAGCTTAGCTAGCCTTCTGAGGGAACCTTTTTCTTCTATTTCTTTTTAGTATAGTTATAATGTAATATATATATCTCATAAAATAATGAATCAAGCCTTCTGAACATGGAGTCAACATTCTCGTCTCTTCCCTCATGCAAGAACCCTTGTGAACACTGTCACACAAGTGTGCTCTGCAGTGCACATCCCAGCGGGTGTGCTGGTTAGAAATTTGGCTAAACTGGGCAGAAGTGGCTGTGAAGGTTCCAAATTCACAGCACCTTCTGAAATACCAGGCCTTACACTTGAGACCAAAAGTCCATATGAAGTTAAAGAAATAGATAGGTAACTGAATCATGGAATCATGGCCGTATGCACTTTCCTTTCAGCTTGGCATGTAATATCTTTACATTACTAATCAAGTGGTAGCAGAGCCCATAGTTTTTGAAGTCAGTGCTCTTATTAATTTGTATTTATATTTTATTTACACAGGTTTATCGGGCAGAACTCGTTCCCCTTAAGGAAAAGGTGCACCACGTCAACGAGCTCGCTCACCGCTTCACTCCCCCTGATCTTCAACTCTCCCAGTACAACCTCAGCTGTGTGGAAGACCTAAACACAAGGTGGAAGGTGCTGCAGGTATATTTCACATTACTTTTTTCTTTGTGCTGCATTTAAGTAAATATTTCTATTTCTCTGTGCTTTGTTCCGTGTGGGATAGCACCAAAGGCGTACTGAGGAATGAAAGATGAGAAAGCCCAAGAAAATGTTTTATTGTTACTATTCAAAAATGCATTAGACAGAGGCCCAACCTGATATTGTTAATGGTTTAAAAATATAAAGGGCAAGCCACATGTTTTGCACACATTTCAAAGATAATACATTATCTTCCTCAGAACTCGGGAAACATTGTGAACAATTCACTTTCACTGTAAATTATTGCTTTGATTTATCAAATCCAGATATTTGGAAAATAAATTTTTCATCTCATCTGAAGATACTTGGAGACAGTATGTCAGGGTGAGATGTTATTGCTGATAGAACAGATAGTTAATTGAAATATTATGTCTTACTGTCTTTTTTCATATTTACTTAAATGTCACTTGGAAGATACAGAGAGTAAGGTGAAAGCACTCCAGTAAATTTTTAAACACATCCTGAGGGGAAAAGACATAAGTAACTTTGAAAGGTTATGATATACTAAAGGCCAAGTTGTGACCCTTGGAAAGAGTAAAGACACGTCTGTTCCTATAATATAATTTTTCTACTTAAAAGAGAGCAGAATTTGAAATGTTTTGAGAGGCAGAGCTCATGTTTTTAGAAGAGAAAAAACTAGCATAGACTGAAATAGAATAGATCAATTGGAGTGAATATACAATTATTTGGACCAACTGTTCCACATGCAAGATCTGCAGGACACTTACACCAATGGCACTTTTTTTAGACTATTATGTATTTTTCCATCTTAGGGCTAGACATTTTTATGTTTGACCAGCACTCCATTTAGATGTTATACCCTTTATAGAAAACTGAAATTTTGGCCATGTAATAGAAAAAGCAAAAATGAAAATTGTTTTTGTTTCATGCAAAAATTGAGTTTTGTTTCATTTTCCTTCTAAGGTATGTTCCTGTTGTTTTTTTCTGGTTTTACGGTTGTTTAGTATGTTTCTTTTTCATTCTATGGTTTTGAGGTTTTTTAAAATTTATTTATTAATTGCCTTTGTTATGCTAATGTCACCTAAAATATCGACTTTAATATTTTCATCATTTTTTCTATACATTTCAGTCTATTTTTCTGTGTCTTTCTTTTACACTGATTATGTTTCTCTCAGGCTTTTCTTAATTCTTATTTTCAAAAAGCAACTCTTTGCGTCACTGCTCTTCTCTGTCTTTCCCCATCTTCCCTCCCTTATTTCTCTTTGGGTTTTTTTTTTTCTGTACTCCACTTCTTTATTTTCTTAGCTTACTTCTCTTCTTGTCCCTCTTCAAAGGTATGATCTCTCTCTCCAGCCTTGCCATATTCCTAATGGGGAAAATATTTCTTACCCATGTAACCCATTTCTTAGAAAATATCAATTAAGGAAAATCATAAAACAGAGAGCTCTGTGCTATTGATTGCCAGAAAAATACCCAACCCTGAAGTGCATAAAGACATAAAATTTATCACATCTGAAACATTTTGTAGAGGAGGTAATCATGTCTCTCTTGTTTCTTTATTAACACTGGGAACTTACATAAGATTAGAGGAGGAAATGTATCATCTTAAGCCAAATCTTACAAAGATTTAATATTATATTCAGTTTATAATCATAAGAATAAGGCCAACTGTAGTCAGCCATTTGCAGTATTGCACAGTGCTTCTACAGTGAGAGTAGTGCTGTTAGTGAATAGAACCAAATATTCCTCCAGAATCTTCCCAGAATTCCATTTGTATTTTTGCAGTAAGGCATGTTTGCCATTAATTTGCCTGGTTTGTATTCAATTTTAGTGAATATACTCCAGAGTATTAGTGGTACAAAAATGTATAGAAAGCACTCAGCCATTTACAGGCTTAACCAGTCCTGGTTTTGAAGTGTTGTGTGGAGTGCATTTCATTAATGAAAGCAGATGCACTCAGCTCAGTCACTGAAAACTGTGTCATCTTCTATGGACTTTGAGTGGCTTCCTGACTTTAATAGAATAGTTTTGAGGAAAATATTCTGTTTATTTTTCTTAAACATTAAAGGAGATGAAGTCTTTCTGAGGAGCTACTTGTTATGAATTTCACAAGAAGCTCTCATGTGTGCTTCAAACAGTCTATGTAATGAGCTCACCCTGGGGTAGAACATGTCTTGCAAACTCTTGCTTACTTCCAGTTGACATTTAGGGAGCCAGGAATCCCCTAAAATTGGTGGGAGTTATATCCATTTCACTAAGTCAGGGATCTGGTTGGTGTAATGCTGGTCAAAGGGCAAACTCCTGACATGTAAAAGAATTTACAATTATCCCACAGAGAACATAGCCTTCAGTTATCAAGAAATATTTTTTTTTTGTTTAAATCAAACTTTGTTTGCTTTCATTTAGAATAGTACCTTTGATAAACTGAAAAAATACAGTAAGAACTGTCTTTCATCCAAAAATGTATTTATGAAGATATTTTGCTATGGTATTTATATTCTAGTGCTTTTACTTTTGAAGGTTGGTAGTTGTTGAGTGGTTGTCTTTGAGCACATCAAAAACCTAGAGCTAAATCAGCACAAGGTGTTTTCCAATCTAAACTTTTCTATAATTCCATTATTTATATCCATATATATATAATGATTGCCAAGAAGCATAAGCCCTAATTTGAGTATCATTCCTAACTCCTCAGCTCATCTTGCACCAGTAGCAGAGATTCTGCAGGATGTGGGGATTTGAAGATTGTTGTGGTGCAAAAAGCATGCTGCCATTGGTTAGAAGGTCCAGCCACAGCTATTATTCTGTTCCCTAGAAGAGCCCTCTCTGCTTGCAGGAGCTGTGAAGAGCCAGCAGGCTTTCAGTACCCCTGCAGGCCATTATCTAAAGTCATATCATCATTTTATTTGTATTCTGCTGAAGACAGGCTCTTTACTCAGCTGCGTAATGCACACTAGTGTAATAGTCTTGCTGCAATGAATTATTTCAAAAACCAGTTTCCTCTGTGTGCTTCACAAATATTTTAGCTGATTCTTTCAATCTGTGGTGAGAAATATGAATGAATCTTACCATCTGTATTTCCAGAGGTACTAAAATCAAGAATATAAAGGCCAAAAAGGAAATCCCTTCTCCCTGAAATCAGTGTTAAAGTGTAAAAAACTATGCATCAAAGTCTTGCTGGCCAGTGAATCTCTGAAGAGCTGAATCACATGAATTCTGGGCAGCAATCCTCAGCTCACACATTGTTTTTTATTGGGGTTGGACACTAAGGCAAGGAAGTTGTAGCTAAATATAAGCTGAAATCAGCAGTGACCTATTGTAGCAGGTTTTAGGTTTGGGCTTTTTTTAATTTACTTCACCTTCTGTCTTTCATGCCTTCTCCAAGAAAAACACCCTACAAAAAATGAAATAACAACAAAAATACCTATGTAAAAGAAATGTCTTCTTCAGATCTCTTGCAGCTGAATTGAACCAAGTTTACTTTTTTAAATTGTATGTAGTGATAGTTCCAGGAAGTAAACTACAATGGAATTAAAATTTGAAAGTGATGAAGGATATTCGCTCATATAATTTTTCTTAGAGAAAAAGAAAAACCTCTCTTGCTTTACAGTTCAGTTGTCCAATTGGTAGTGCATAGTATCTAGTATCTATGATAGCTTTCATCATACACGGAAGTTCTAGTCATATACTTACACAGAATATTTGCCTTAAATTATTCTATATCCTAAATTACAAGTAGAATTATTTATTATTAAACAGTGAATGAGTGCAAACTGGGGCTAAAGTTGATAGATTTAGATGATGCAACAGTAGCAAGAAAGATATTTCTTCCTCTGTATGAACAGAGAAGTTCATGTCTAAATGGATGGGCAAAATAAAAGGCCATTCAATTTTTATATTTTTATATTTACATATTATTACCTTTCTGTTATCTTAGCAGTTTCTCTTTCCATTATGATATTTCATTCATTTTAATAACTAATGTTTTTCAATTTGGTTTTTTCTCCTTTTTAAACTGGATTTTGACATATGTCATCTGTTACTAGCTGAAAAAAAATGGGAGACAACTTTTCTAAATATATGGAGCCAAAATTCCAGCTCAGTTAGAATTATAGTAGTTAAGTCACTACTAAAATAACGGTGCTTTTCAATCTTGAAATTTGAAATTATTTTGTAGTTGCAGACTTCATCTTCCCACCAGAGGGAGATTTTGATCCTTCTTGGAAGTTGAGTTTTCCCATTGGACTACTTAGTTAAAATGTTGGTTTGTATGTTCCATGGGAACAGGAACTTCTGCCAAAACCACAATTGTTACAGCACTTTAATGGTCTCTTATTTGTTTAATTGGCTATGCCAGTTGGCTGCAGAAGTCATGGAGCCAAAAATTTTTCTTCATTACTGTTAGATTGAGTCTCAGATTTTCTCAATGTTTGTCTGCAAAATTGTGCATATAGAATTCATTTTGCAGCGATTCATTCTTTAGAAATCCAATTTATTTACTTCTGTAAGTTAGTGGAGGAAGGCCAGCTGTCAGGATTGGGATTCAATTCTACTGAAGTCTGTGTCAAAAATTGGAAATATTCCTTCCTAAATTAGGAGGACACCTTCATTGTGACATCTTTAGGGCAGTCAGTGAAAGAAAGTGTGTAACTATAAACAGGAGTGGTTATCATCCACAGACATGACAGCAGGAAAACCAATAAAACCTTAATAAAATCTTACTAAATTTATGATGTGTGTGATGAATTTCACTTTACTGGAAATTGCAAATGCTTTAATCTTTTTTTGGGAAGAAGGTGCATTCATTTTGAGAGTTTTGTTATCCTCTTTTGTCTTCCTTTATGCTGAAATTCTGTCCTCTCTGAAGATGTTTTGAAGAACCATGCAGAAGAATAGCAATTTACCCTACTTTATATCCTCATTACAATATGCATCTGTAGCTTTTTTCCAATGTATTTTTTTGTTTCTCATAAATGTGTGTGAGT